ATGTCTGCTTGAACAAATAGATATTGCTCTTCACTTGCTATTCACTGTTTCATGTTTTAGGGGGGAACAGAGTTGAAAATAGGCACTTTCATTAGTATTTTGAGTCATGGTAGATCTGAAAGACTATTTCATCTCCTCATGCTTTATCTTGACAGTTAATATGTGAGACCAAGTCTACACACTATACACATCTTTATCTAAAATTGGCTTTAAAAATGAAATATTGCTGCCATTCTGGATATGGATAACCTTATATCAGTTTCAGCCAAGTTTACTTGGGCTTTGCCTGTATTTTTAAGCTTAGTAACATATATATGTGAGGTTTACAATGAGAATTATCCACAGAAGAACTTGTATCAATTTTAGGCATACACATTAGTATAACTTAGTACCTAGACCAGTAGCTCAGTGATGCCCTCATTTAGAGGCTTTTCAGTGACTGTTAAGAAACTGGCATCTTCATAATGGGACCTGCACCTCTGAAGTGCACCTAGTTGTTAGGAGAGCCTGACATTTTCGTCTGTGTCACATGTTCCTTAGCAAATTTTGTTTCGTGATCTCTTTGAGTCCTTTTGCAATCACTTCTTGATTGCTTATGCTGGAATTTATGTGATGTTTATGGTGCATCTTGAGGTAGTGGTAGTTACATTTTATCACCTGGAAAATAAAATTGACACAGGCCTTTAAATATCAAGGAAAGCAGAGTAAAGGCTGTCAGCCTTCATTATATTTATCCACTGTGCTTCACCCTACCTCTTGTACAATTCTTTCATCTGCTGTCCCAGAGGGATGAATTAAGAATACAAGGTTCATTGTAACTCTGTCAGGTGAAGCTGTGTCCTCGCCGAGGCCAAGGACAGAAATTTCACTAGTTTCATTTTCATGTTGCTTTTTGCTGCTGTTTTTGCAACTTTAATACTGTCAAAATAGCAGTAGTGCTCTTCTATGGATACTTTTAGGGAAAGACTGGCTGAAACTTGACCAATGTGTAGGAGCAACAGGGCACAGAACAGGGGAGGGAAGTGGGTTAACATCATTCAGTGTGTGTTTAGAATGCAGTTTTAGGTATGGGAGAAAAAATAAACTCAGTTATTGTACAATAATATTGCATTCATAATACTGCTAGAAATAAATATTTGCCAGAATGAGGTCAGCTCATAAATTTCTTGTACATTTTAAGAAACTGCATATTTAGAATATATGGACCTGTAATTCCAAAGTTTCTGCATAGTTTATCTCCTCCTGCTGTCTTGGCTTTAAATCAAGGAAAGAATATTTTATAGAGGATTTATTTGTAGCTAATGTTAGTTGTATAGCTACTGCTGCTTTAGGCTCTGTTATGTTCCCCTAAATCATGTAGACAGTGCATTGGTTATTTAAATGTGAATATCTGACAAACTTAAGAGTGATTAGAGCACAATACCTAGAATGTGCTAAAATTAAGTGCTTTGAATCTCTGCCCCTATCACAAATGATTCCTGAATTGAATTGTCTGGGTGAAAATGCAGCTTTAAAACCCTAAAACTTTGTTTTTATTCTACTCAACAGGTCTTCAATGGATGCTAGAGGAGCTCAGTTAGTCAGAACTGTCAGAAAGATTTTATTAATGTATGCATAGTATTAAAAAGAACTATGTTTGAATGTGTGCATAAGTTTTTTGTCTTCGTTTTTCTTTAAATAATCTCTTAAGTCTAGTAGTTATTATAAGGAAGAGCAATAATGGAAATGCAGAGTGAATCCTGAAAAACACAATTCAGTCCATAGAAGGATGACAGCTACAGAGCAGACATTTGGATGTAAACAGAGTAAAAGGAACATTTCTTGGGTCCCTAGGTATATTTCACACAGTGGGAGTGGGTAAAGAAAACCTATTTGCCTTTGAATTTCTGCAGGGCAATACTGGTACCAGAGATGTACCCAACAGGGAATTCAGATGCCTAAACAGTGAGTTTCTTTGGAGTTTAAGCCAGAAGAAAGCCATTTCTATACCCCTCTTGCTCCAATGATGATTTTCACAACTGGAAACTAAGTGGCACAGTTTTGTATTCCTTAGACTACACTGTACTGCTGCTGCTCGGCCTTTATCGTTACCAATTGAATTAACAAGTAGCAAGCCTCTCTAATGTCACTGTGGTGTTTCAGGTACCCATGGACAGCAAAGAGGCTGGTAGGAGTGGAACTGACTTTCCTGGCTAGCAGCAGAATCATGCTGCAACCAGCACAGGCAGGAGAAGTTTTTTCATTAGCAATTTGCATTCATCCACCTCTCCTTCATCCCACTTCCTTTTCTAACTGTACCTGGTTAATAATCTTTATCTCTCTGAGATTAGAGTACGGAATAAACTTTCTGGTGACATTCAAATACAGCACTTCAGTGAAGTGGATCAATTTAAACAATACACAAATGTTAATCCCTTTTCATAGCTGCATGTTCTTTCATTTATACCACCAACCCCACAGGTGTAAAGCTTCCATGTCTGGCCATGTAACCCCAGGCTCCCTGTGCTGGCTCAGGTGGACATTTCTGTCCTGGCTCCTCACCAGGTCTTTGCTTTTCTTTCTAGACATTCCTGGATCACGTTGCCAGTTGCAGCCTATTTCCATTGACTTCAGGGCACTTGACCCCATAGGTGCTTGCAAACAAGCACACTTGTTCTCTTGGATGAACATGCATGCACAGTGGGGTTTGTTTTTCTTCTTTTTTTTCCTTTTAAGTGTGGTGTTGAAGCCAACGTGGATGCTTAGCCTTCTAAGCAATGCTTGCTGGAATTAAACAGGGCTATCGAGAGCGAGGAAGTTGTTAAATGCTGGGCAAAGACTTCCAAAAGCAGCTCCAGGCCCAGCTCCAGGATGGGCCTTGGTTTCGCCCAGCTACGATCCCTAGTGGTGTGTGGAGCTGCTTACCAGGAGGATAATGGAGTTGGCAGCTGTCCTCTGGGGCAGGACCTTGGTGGCCCTTAATGACAGTCATCAGGAAAGTGGTCTCACTTACTCAAGTTGTATTAACTCAGTTGAGTGACAGTGTTTAGTACAGAGAATTGGGTTGTTTATGGGGTTTTCTTCCTCCCTGCTCTCATGTAGATTTGATTTCTGCACACAAGTGTAGAAATACTAAATATACACACCAATAGAGTATTTCTATAGGCACTTAGCCATCCAGCTTTGAGCTGGTGACGTGGAAAGATTTGATTTGTGTGTACAGAAGAGAAATGTGTGTGTGCAGATGCATGTTGGAATTGCCTTGAGCGGATTTGGAAATTTCATACCTAATTTCAAAACAGTACTAATAAATATGTTGATTCAAATGAGGAGAGGAAGCTTTTTCTCTTTCAGAAAGACTTAGTTAAAATTCAGGAAGTCAAACTGCCGAGGAGTTAGCACTAGGATTTATAAAACGACATTGAAAGGGAAGCTTAATTAACATTTCACTACCCTTTCAATTGCACTGAATCCTGTCTGGTTTATCACCCACCTAAATGTGTTAGTTTGTATTTGAAGAATGTTTGTGACAGTGAGCCTTCAGGAGAAAGCTCAGCTTTTTCCTATAATCTCATTATAGTATTTGTGTATTCTATTTGCTTGCTTTGACCTTGGATAATACAGAGAGAATATTCAATGTATATATCATATATTTCTGGGCATCTGTACTTGAGGTTGTTTTCTTTTAACTGTTAATGTAGCTTTAGCTGGAATTTAAATTTTTTGGTGTTATTTTTTCTTTTGGTCAAAACAATGTACACGCTATATTAGTAAGTTGGGTATTGATGGATGAGCACACACAGGATGGCAGTGCACACGAAAGCAAGTCATCCCAGGTAAGGATGCTGCTCTGCATTCCTTAGGATAGAGTAAAGAAGTAGCAGCTGCTTTTCTTTCTCTCCCTGAAGAACACAGTGATAATAGAAATGGGATATTAAAAAGGGCAGCATAGATTAATGGGGCAATAATAAAACAAATGAGACCCATTAGCGAAATCACTGCTTGAAAAGTAGATTCTGTGATAAGTGCCCTTCAGTGCCTTGTGGAGGGAAAATTGTTTCAGCACTTGTAATGTCATCCATGATGTTGGATTTTAGACTGTTGTGACAATCTAAGTGATAGAATCTTAAAATAATTTAGATGAAGGTAATCTTCATTTGTACTTACTGCTTGGTAGAAAACTTGAATGATTAAATCTAAATGTTGAAGACAAGTTCTTTTTTTTCGATTGCAGACAGTGTTTTTGCATGTTCCCAGAATCTTTCATCAAAAAACAAAGCAGTTTTGTGTTGTTCTGTTAAGCCTGTAAGGTGATCATGAGAACTTGAAAAGCCTTATTTTGTTACTGCAGTACCAGTGCTATGGGGACTGATGTTCAAACAGACTTTGAACTGGCATTGGTGGCTGTAGCAGCATGTCCTGTTTTTTAGTTGTTGATTTAATATTAGATTAATGATGAAAGGTGTGCATTACACATAAAACATTACGTGTCTCTGTTTGCTCTCTACATTTTAGACCAGACAGTTTTCTGAAGCATTTAATGAATAGGGAAAATACAATTAATTTCTGAGATTTATAGGGTATGTTGTCTGTAAGGAGAAAAATGTTTGGATTTAGAGATAAAGTAGGCTCACAAACCAACTTATCAAAGCCGAATACATTAGTTTGAAAGCACTCTTTCACAGATTGTCAGGAGATAAATGGATCTAAGTCTCCAAATGGTCACATTTTTCTTCTCTTTCTCCCTTTAGAAATGCATGGCTGTATTGTGGTAGGGTCTAATTTTTAATTTTTTTTTTTTTTTTATTTTACAGTGTAATTTTGTTAAATCAGAGTGTAAACATTAAGCAATACATGTCTTGTAAGATGCTCAGGGGAGCAGGGCCTGGGCACTCTTGAGCACTGTGCGCCAGCAGCACATCCCATCCAGCGGTGGAAGAGGAGGGCCGGGAGGCGGCTGTTGCTATCGCTCTGATGTCAGGCACTCTCACTAACGTGTGGTTGGTTATTCTGCATTTCAGATCACTGCCGGTAGCGGAGCGCAAAGGGAACGGCGAGACTCCCACATCTTTCAGCGAGAAGAAAGGAGTCAGCGGAGCAGACTAATACGGACTTGTGTCGGGTGCCCTTGCCCTACAAAGGCTACCTTTAAAAGAGAAACGCAGTGTTATTTAATGAGCTGTGAGATGAGGCACTGCTGCTAACGCTCAGATCCCAGGATTCATCGGCTATTCATTGTGCTTAATGTACATGTTTCTGCACCGTGCATTTAGGAGATCCCAGAGAAGAATCCAAAACGGCTGCGGGGGAAAGACCACCAAACATGCCTACAGAAACATTACCGACAGGTAGCATGGTGAAGCCGGTCAGCCCTGCCGTGACTTTCACATCCGCCGTTCCTCTCCGCATCCTGAACAAAGGACCTGACTATTTTCGCAGGCAGGCGGAGCCTAATCCAAAAAGACTGAGCGCAGTGGAGAGGCTAGAAGCCGACAAGGCAAAATATGTCAAGAGCCAGGAGGTCATCAATGCCAAGCAGGAGCCTGTGAAGCCGGCAGTGCTGGCGAAGCCACCGGTCTGTCCTGCGGCCAAGAGAGCACTGGGAAGCCCCACCTTGAAAGTCTTCAGCAACAACGCAAAGACTGAGAGTGGCGTCCAGAGGGAAAATCTGAAACTTGAGATTTTGAAGAACATCATCAACAGCTCTGAAGGCTCCAGCTCAGGTTCAGGGCATAAGCACGGTCCCCGAAATTGGCCACCCCACAGAGCTGATTCAACCGAGCTGAACCGACACTCATTCGCCGAATCTTTGAAGGTTTACCCCACGCAGGGTCGTAGCAGCCCACAGGAGAGCAGCTCCAACGTCAGCAGAAGGCTCCTAGATCAATCAGCAGAGACTTTCTTGCATGTCTCTCACAGCTCTTCAGATATTAGGAAAGTAACTAGCGCAAAGCCCTTAAAAGCAATACCCTGCAGTAGTTCAGCCCCACCTCTGCCTCCAAAGCCCAAAATCGCTGCCATTGCCACCCTGAAATCCCCAGAGATTGAGGCAGTCGAGTCTGGATGCGGAGTTAGTAGAAGACCCTCCCTACAGCGATCAAAATCAGACTTAAGTGACCGATACTTTCGCGTTGACGCAGATGTTGAACGATTCTTTAACTACTGCGGACTGGATCCTGAAGAGCTTGAAAACCTCGGGATGGAAAACTTTGCAAGGGCTAACTCTGATATTATATCCCTCAACTTTCGCAGTGCAAGCATGATTAGCTCAGACTGTGAACAGTCTCAGGACAGCAACAGTGACCTTAGAAATGATGACAGTGCCAATGACCGTGTGCCATACGGCATTTCAGCCATTGAAAGGAATGCCAGAATCATCAAGTGGTTATATAGCATCAAGCAAGCTAGAGAGTCACAGAAAGTGTCCCATGTGTGAGAGAGAAATCCACCATAGAAAAAGCAAGGACTGTATCTTTGTCTGTGAATATTCAGTTTGTGAAGGGTTGTGAAGTCTACTTGAAGTCCTGTACCCTTCTCAAATCTCTTTGTGTTGCTTGTTGTGCAATGTTTCCAAGTTGCATGCCTGTCAACATGTGAGCTGACCTGGCTTCCACTTGAACAATAACTAACTACAAAGCCTGGCTGAGCATACACATTATCTGCCAAAAGTTTAAGACAAGAATCTGATTAGGGCTTCAGTATAATCAAAGTGTTTACATGGAAAGGTTATATGACTTCTTTGGTATTTATGTGGTTCCTTGTGGATTTTATATTTGTCACTTTCTGTCTTAATACGGATATTGTCAGCTGATGTTACTAGTTTCTAAGTTGAAACAGAATCCCTTTGAGGGGGGAAGAAAAGCAAAATTGGCCAAAAAAAAGAGGTTTAGGCATATGACGATAGGCACAATAGCCTTATCTCTTGTAGAAAGTGCGTTATTGGCACATGAAAGCTGTTTCTAAAAGGCAAAGAATGCTATGTTCTTAAATTATGTATCATTGTTAAACTATATATCCCTACTTGTAGTAAAACACTATTCTGTAAAGGTTTCTTTTTTCTAGGTAAGCTCCCTCCGTTTTACAGCAGAAATAGTCTAGTGAATCTTCTTGACCTCTCATAAACTAAATGAGTCTTGCATTTGGGTTGATGGAAGCATTTTTAATGATTTTGTATTATCCCTGTTGGAAAAGCTTAAAGAAGGTCAGAGTGAACAGACGGCGCAGGTGTGGGATTTTGTGGGTTTAATTTTTACTCAAAGATTCCTGGTCTTAAACTTTTGACAGGAATAATTAGATCCTATAGCTGATACTGAATGCCTTTATTAGTCAAAACACATCATGGCTACAAACTCCATGCTGTCTTTTAATTTTTTTTGTAGACCTATTTGAACAGTTAATGAACAAAAATGGAAACACACAGCCATATCAATATAACGCCTCCTATTCAGAAGTAAATACACTCAGTAGCTGAACTATATCTGAAAAAATGTGGTTATGTTGTCTTGCATATGTTATATCTAAGGCTGTGAGGGTTTGTTACAGCTCTAGGAAAGTGTAGAAACATGACAGTATGTAGCTTTTTTTCTTTTTTTTTTTTTTTTTTTTACCTCTTTAACATGGTTAGTGCTGCAGATCAACCTGTTACAAATCTTTTGACAATCTGTGTCTTCCCAGTGGTTTAATGAACTGTCATTTCAACTGACAGTGGTGGTGTGGTAGTCGAGAAGTTGAAAGTACAGTGGTCTGCTTCATTATTATTGTATACATGCTTTGAAGTAAATTGCAGCACTACCTTATACTACATCAGCTAATAGGAAACTTTTTTATTGTGTAAATGCTGTAAGACTTTGTATATACTTTAGTTGTTACGAAATCTTTAAAAGGAAGAGTGTTATGCTAATAAATAGCTCCTGGTGCAGGTATGGTAGGTTTTTTGTTCTTTTTTTGACCCCTTCCATTCTTAAAGCTATATCAGGAACTCAATTGCAGTGTCTTTTAGTGCTGTAGAAGGTCTTGGTTAAATAATAGTTCCAGTAAAAGGTTTCTTTTACTAAAGTGCTTTTCAGAATATAATTTTTTATAAAATAACTATAGCAGCATGATCTGTCTGAAGAAATAGAAGAGGTTTTCAAGACTCCTAAAATAGCTTGCTTCTTCCTTACCTAGCAATGTTACTGTTCCCGTTTATAGCATCTGTTCATAATGAATCACTGCAGTCCTCTGAATTATTCTTCAGTAGTGCTTATTTATATATTTGAATATTAAAGATATTTTACAAAGTCGAGTTCTATCTTTTCTCTAAGAAGCCTGTAGCCCAACTTCTTACAGCTACAGTTAATGCAGGCAAGACTGGAAGGGGAGCCATGTAGTCGTTTGTTGCCTATGGAATTATCCCGCATCCAGTTTTAAATAAGTGTTCTCCAAAGGATTGTTCATGAAGGGGGAAGCACACATTCAGTTTCAGGAGGCTGTTCTATGATTTTTACAGTTGACTTCACAACCTAAGACTTACAACATTCCTAGCTTGGACAAAAAAAATGAGGAGCTCTGTATTTCAGCTACAGGCACATTTGTGACATTTCAAGCTCCATGGGTTTCAGTTGGCGTTGACATCACACTGGTTTTTCAAGCATATTTTTCCAATAGTAAGTTCTACTCAGTTCAGTGACTATTTTGCCAAGGAAAATAATGCTTAAGGGATTAAAGCCAAGTGTAATGCAGCTGTACAGCAATGAAATAAAGAAGTTAAAACCAAAATAAAAAATGCACTCACATTGTCCTCTCTCAAGTGTTTTAAGAATGATGAGAAACATGCTATCTCAAGTGTTATCAGCCAAAAACAGTAATAAAGAAGCCTTTATAACTAGAAAATGGATTAGAGCATATCCTAGTATTCTGATGTGGTTTCCCAAGGTTTGTTGGGAAGCCATAGGCTCTTGAGAAATCAAATTAATTTCCTTTTAATCCACAAAGGGTTTAGGCTTGTGAGCTGTCTGTAAGAGAGCATTTCCTCACCTGAGATCTTAGGCAGCACCTTTGAAACAGCACAGGCTCTGCCTCTGCTATCGCTACTTGTTACAATGTTCACACGAATAAGACTTCAGAGAACCTACAGACTTTACAGGACCTTCACAGTCAGCTGAACTTGCAAGTCCGGTGAGAGTGCAATAAGAGAAATCATAGGATTGCAAAATGTTCACAAGGCTTTGAACAAGGAGGTAAAAATTGCCTTCATTTGTCACTTTGTTACCATTTATGCAGACAGGATTTATTTATTTGTGTTCTCACTATTGCCTGTACATTTGTGTAAAACCCAAATCATTGGTGTCTGATCTGTTTTTGTATTCAAATGGGAATAACTATTTTACCTTTGCAGACAGGTAATCCTGTCATGTCGAGAGAGTCTGTTATTTGTCTCTGCCTTAGGAGATTCCCAAGTGCTGATGTTGTATTCATGGAGAGTTGTAACCAACTCAGATGCTTCATCAGGGATCTGTTCTGGTCATGTTCCTGCTGTGTCCAGCAGGCATTTACCCAGGTACAAAGTGCACAGCAAGTGTTCACAGCTACGAAACAGCTCTTGTTGCAGCTCTGGAGAGAGATTCAAGTCTGTGGTGTCCTGTGAAAGCCAGTACTGAGCCTGGTGCTGGCAGTCCTGGCTACAGCATTGAAGAAAAATGCAGTATGTCTTTAGTGATTAATATGAATTCCCACTCACACGCATACAAAAGAAACCACCACAGAGGTTTACGGTGGTTCTGTTACTTTGACTTGCCAGGGAGGGGAAGGGAGAGTAAAATGATGTGGCCAAGTACACTTTGAAAGCTACATACAGCTTTGCACAGAGATAAACCATTTGTCTGAGTGAAAGAGATGGGCATCAAAGTAAAACTGGTCTTTTAATCACTTCATATTGTATAGTAACAATGTCATGAAGGATGAGAGATAGAGGATCTGTGCCACAAATTTACATTCAACAAATTCAAGTACTGAAATTATCTCTTTTTTCTGAATACTGTTTCTGCAAGGGAGTACATTCTGCTGTGAGCATATGCACCATCTGAGTGACCGAGGGCTTTTGAAGGGTAAACACAAAATGATGATGCTTTTGGCAGTAATTCAAAAATCAAAAGGCACACTCAGACAACAGAGCCAATCAGTATTGCTGACTTACCTCTTTTTGCAGCAGCTTATCCATCCGTGGAGGCCATACGCACTTGATTCCAGTCATTCAGTGTAAAACAAAGTGTTTAATGGGGCTCTGCAGTACAGAGCTGAATAATTCCAGTCTGTGGGAGAATAGGAAGGGAACTAAACCTTAAAAAGTCTTTCTGATATCTTTTGATTATGGGATGATAATATTTAGTATGTTGTATTCAGAGCTCACTTGTTCATAACAAACTTTATTAAGCGGAGTAGTGTAACAAATCTAGGAGGTTCCATTTTTCCAAGGCTATAAAACTCATGTTCGGTGTGATTAATGGTGTCACACTAGTAGCTGAGCACATTAGGCTTAGAATATAAGAGCATCTGGAGCTTTGTTCCTATGAACAGTAAGGGTCCATTGCCTATTTTGGCGATGAATATAAATGCAGACATAAATGTGCTATACAGAAGAATAAATTGGTCAGGGTGTTTTGTCCTGAATTATAATATAACTCTATATCAAAATACTTGTTAGCAAGGCTTAAACAGTCACTGATATTCTGAATTCATCTGACATTCCTTGCTGTCAGCAGAAAGACACCAATAATCTGCCCTTTGAAATATGTCACCCATAGCTTAATGGAAAGGCCATTAAAATTGTCTGTTCAGTGTAAGGACTTTTATCTCCTGATGATGGCATCTGTTAAGTGAACCTCTAAATAAGCACATTTCAGTCAGAAGTATTAACCCCTGAATGCCTTTTATTTTTCTCCCTGGAAGCCCAAATGGTGATCAATAGCTGCAGCCTACCATTTGTTACACTTATTGCATTACTGTTAAATACTCAGATGTTCTCCCCTGGGCTGCAGTGCAATCTAAAGTGGAGACACCTACACTGCACCATCTGTCTTGCCCTGGTAGGTATGAACGGCCTTCAAGTATATTTTACATTTGATCACGTAAGAATTTGGTTGTGGCTGCCCATCAAAACTGAGTAATAATTAGTGACTTAAAAAAAAAAAAAAAGAAAAACAGTCATTTATAGAACAAAAAACTAGTCTCTTAAATGTCATTCTTCTAAATTTAAAGTAATTTTCATGATGATCTTATGACAAGAGTATTAGGAGTGCTGGTATCTGTGCTATTATTTCTTGCTTTTGGCACAACAAGTCGTCTCCACCTTCTTGGTGTCTCGCCTTTTCTGAGTTTTCCCAGCTTCCTTCTTCCTTTCTGCATGTTCCTTCCCTTGTGGTGTCTGGCTTTTTCATCATATTTTCTTTGAAGCTTATGACCAAGGTCGTTATGTTCTCCTCACTTAACCTCCTCCCAAAGCAACTTCCCCCCAACTTGTTCTGTCTTTTATAATCACCACATTCATGACAGCCTGTTACCAAGAGAGTAAGTCTGTGGCTACAGTTGAGCTACCATGTCTTGAACAGATAGTAATCATTTTAATGGCTTATTTTTCAAGTTTGCAGGGTGTCATGCTATTTGCAGGCAAGATGAAACAGATAGAGGTTGTTCTTCAGGCAGATGTTGTAACTGAAAACACTTGTGAAGAACAGGGTGTCGAGCATATCTTGAAATGTCAATGTCTTGGTCCAAAATCGTCTGTATTTTTTGCTCTACCATATCTCTTGCTATTTTTTTGGCTCCATGTAAAATGCTGTCTTGAGGACTGCAGCATGCAAAGGTCATATAATTTCCACTGAACAGAATGATACAGGCCCACTATCCAAGAAATATTTATTGATTTCCCTTCTGCTGTTTGTTAACAGGGTAGCTGTGTGTCTTGTACCTGTGACATCCAGACTACTTGCACTGCATGCACAGTTCCCAGGCAGTCAGTCAAAAAGCAAATGCTTAAAAAGACTCATAAAAAACAAGTACAGTGGAAAATGCAGGAGGGGCAAAACCTGTCCTCACCTGCTATTGTAAGAGACTTTCAGCTGTGGTAAGAGAAGGTTTAAAAGCTGAAGTCCCCAGACTGCCATCGCATGCAGCCCTGGGGCTGAAGGTCCAACAGTTCAACCCTGTGTATGAGAAAAGGATATCCATGTATCTAGGCATCTGGGACACAGGATAAATCACTGCATGGAAGAAGGCAGCACTTGCTGAAGCATGCTACTGTTTCAGTAAATACCTGTTACTCCTGTCTTAAAACATGAAAACAAAGAAAGAAAACAGGGTTGAAATTTGAAGAACAGCTGTGTATGCAAATATTTTCAGATGAGATGCGCAGGTGGGCAGATAGTTTTGCTTTTTAAGAAAGGAAGCCTTCAAAAAATCTTTTAATAAATGACCTGCTTTTCAAGTATATTAATCTTTTATGAAGTCTGTCTTGCTATTTTGAACTGTAAAAGCTTTGCTACTCTGAGCACACAGCATTTAGAAATGTACAGGCAGTGATTTGGAGTGACTTAAATACTAGGATAGGATGGTGTTTTGCTGAATATAAACTTAATTTTACTAAAATTTTGTGCAATGGTGTTTTTTCCTGTATTTTAAATTGATTGTGAGGGGCAATAGAAAATTAACATAGTCTTATTTATTAATTTTGGCCTACAAATAAGACAGGGGAGTACAGGTTAATGTGTCTGCATGAAAACTGTAGTATTAGGTTTTGGCAAAGGCTTGATTTTCTTCATCCCTGTTTTGCTTACCTCAGAGCATATCAGCTTACACGTATCTGGCACAGAACTCACTCATCCCATCTGAAAATGCCTTCTGCAAGCTTATGGTTTTGTGTCCATCTGGTGAATTTTCTACAGGATCTTTCCTGTATTGAGGTGCTGGAGCATGTCCAGAGAAGGGCAACGAATCTGGTAGAGGAGCAGCTGAGGGAGCTGGGACTGTTTAGCCTGGAGAAAAGGAGGCTCAGGTGGTACTTGATGACTCTCTACAATCACCTGAAAGGATGTTGTAGCAAGGTGAGGGTCAGTCTCTTCTCCCAAGTAGCAAGTGACAGGACAAGGGGAAACAGCCTCAAGTTGTGCCAGGAAAGGTTTAGACTGGATAGTAGGAAAATCTTCACCAAAAAAGATTGTGAAGCATTGGAATAGGCTGCTGAGGGATTTGGCAGTCACCATCCCTGGAGATGTTTAAAAGATTTGTAGATGTGGCACTCAGGAACATGGTTTATGTTCAAATGTGGAGAATTCGGCAGTGAAATTACAGGTTTGGGTTTTTTTTCATCCCAAATTCTGTACAGTCAAACAGAGCCAAAGAAGCTAATGAAATGTGTGTGTGTGTGCATATATAGCTATATAAACACAAATAGAATAGGGCCGGTAGCAATAGGACAAGGCATAATGTTTTTAATCTGAAAGAAGGTAGAGTCAGATCAGATATTTGGAAGAAATTTTTTACAGTGAGGGTGGTGAGACACTGGCACATTGCCCAGAGGTGGTAGAGGCCCCATCCCTGGAAACATCCAAGGTCAGGTTGGATGATGCTCTGAGCAACTTCATTGAGTTGAAGATGTCCCTGCTCGTTGCAGGAGGATTGAACTAGATGACCTTTAAAGGCCTCTTCTAACCACACCAATTATGATTCTAGGTTTTCCCCACAGTGATGTAAGGAAATATTAAAAAGTGCCTGGATGCTTTCATCTGGGAAGACCATGAAA